TATAAACCAGACCAATGTCTTTTTTGACAGTTTATTGTAATTTTTGTCTGGTAAGATTTATATTCAAATAATTCAATGTGTGTTGATATAAAAAATATTTAAAATTAACCTACCTTTCCTAACATGCATTGATTAGTTACAGGCATGTTTTTGAAAGTTACTTCTCTTGGCTATTGAAACGTATGGAATCTATTATAGCAAAGTTTTGGGTTTGATTCTGCTATAAAACCAACCCCTTTTTTCATTTTCAAAGAAATTTATTTTTCAAAAATCTAATACTGATTTTCAGAGTTAAAGTCATTTGTATAGAAGTAAATGTATGTGTGTCAGTATGTGTGAAAAAATGGGGTAAGGGAAATGACTCATTTTTAATGATGTTGTTTGTTGATTGATGCTTGCATATGTATGATGTCTTGCACAGCAGCACCCTCACTCTGTTTTCTGTTATGGCATTCTTACGACAAGAATTACAAGGCTCTTTTCTTGACTGTGATAATGAGACAGCGAACAGGGAGAACTGGATGTGTGCCTTTTCCAAGAAGATAAGCGTATTATTATTTTGAAGCACTTACATCTTCAACTCAATTGTAGAATTAAAAATAAAATTATCACATATTTTACTATGATTTGTGTCAGTTAATCAAGCAATGAAAATAGCTGTAAAAAATGGGATTACTTAAGACTGGATATGCATTTTGGTCTCGGATCAGTCTGCATGTTCAATATATAATATACATAACCAGAAATTGCATGTCTGTTCATTTTTATATGACAACAGCATTAGCTAAAGTATGGAAGTGGAGAAAAGAAAAAAAGCAGAAGGTAAGTAAGAAAGCCAGAGAAAAACAAAAAGAAAAGCAGATGAAAGGCAAAGGAACAAGGGATGAAGACTAAAAGCAGGTAAGCCAGAGGATGATGAAGAAAGCTAGAGAAAAATGGAACGCAGGTGAAAAGGATGGAGACAAAAGAAAGATACTGTTATACCAGAACATACCTATTCTATTGTTAATAGACTCTCCCACACATAATAAATAGTAGCAGTCGCCAGGGAGCTCAGTAAGTTGGTGAGTCAGTCGATGTTGGACATTAAAGTATCAACCACCACAACTAGATTGCTGCGTCATTAACTATTATAACAAGTTCCTAACGTTTTGTACGTCGAACCTTTTTAGGACCGACAGCGAAATACAAGCCTCGACGGTGAAAACTACAACAGATACAGATTTGCTTTTTGGAGTTTTATTCTTTTAACTTCGATCTTTTTTTTTTTAAATGTATAAGTTAGCATAGTTAACAGCTCTCCACCATTTCACTTTTTTGTGAAGACCATAGTGGCAGCTTATTTATCACATGTTTTAATGTACAATTTTTTTTTTTTTTTTTTTTTTAAGAAAGAGAGATACATGATCCAGAATCATGTTAGAGGAGACACCTCTTTTTGCCAGGCAATCTGTAACTTGGCTTGAGCCGGAAATCCATTCAAGTTTAGGCATTAATTTTTGTTGAAGCATTTCATGAATGATAGCACTTTCACTTCTCAGCCTTTTATCCAATATTTGAATAGATGAGTGAGCAGACTCATATAGGCCTGCATTGTCATTTTTACAGATTACTGGAAGATTTTCCTGCCCGTCTTCAATTCATAAAAGTTCTAGAAGATATTTTCTGTAAAAAGTGCAGGCTTCAATAGTACCAACCATAGTAAGTGTCTCTGCTGTCTGCGTACTTTTCACAACTCTCTTGACTCTAAGATCAACAAGAAATAAGAACATAAGTATCATTATTACCCACAATGCATCCTGTTTGATATCCTCCATTGTTAAACCCAACAAATCCTGCATCAGATTGGATCAAGTTGTGTGACTGTTAAATAAAGTCACCTTCTGTTTTCTTTTATAAGATATATTTGATTTGATTTTTATAAGCTACATTTGATCCTTGTAACTTGAGAAAAGCTTAAATGAGATTTAATAGACATTGTTTCATGGGTCAAATCTCAGCTCAAGTGACACTAAACCTCGTCCATCATCAATGACCTTTTATTTTGATATTTTCTGAAAGTGGATGAAAATAAATGTCAGTTTTTAAATTAATCAGCCTTAGGCTTTACAAGAGAGAATACATTATTTTATTAGATTTATTTATATTTTTTTACTTGATCAGGGAGGCTTGACTGCTTTTGCCTTCTTATGAAGAGTAAAGAGACATGAAACCCAAGTTCAAATCTCACTATGGTCAATTTGTCAGGAAGGTGACTTCTTGATGGTATTGGACTAAGGAGGTGATTTCAGCATGCATTACCTTTGGAAAGAACATGAAAACCATGTCACATGTCAACCTAAACCTTGTGGATGAAATTGGGGAGACAGAATTGTTCATTGATGTCTGCACTATCATTCGTTGATGGATAAATTGTCATCTAAATTCTGCAAAAATGAAAATAACACTGACATCTCATTTTAACAGATCTACAGAGTGCGATGGATAAATTGTCATCTAAATTCTGCAAAAATGAAAATAACACTGACATCTCATTTTAACAGATCTACAGAGTGCGATGGATAAATTGTCATCTAAATTCTGCAAAAATGAAAATAACACTGACATCTCATTTTAACAGATCTACAGAGTGCGATGGATAAATTGTCATCTAAATTCTGCAAAAATGAAAATAATACTGACATCTCATTTTAACAGATATACAGACTTTAATGTTCACTTATATATATATATGAAGAAATATAGTCTTAAGGTGTGCTATATTTATAGGATAATGTGCTCAATATCAGAGATAGAGCGTGTGTAAATATAAAAGTGAACATAGAACTCAGCACTTAGAGGCAACAGGTTGTTTCATGCTAGAAGCAATCGTCAAGCCACGAATTTTATATATATAAATATAAATATAAAAGTGAACATGAAAAACATGTCACATGTCAACCCAAACCTTGTGGGTGAAATTGGGGAGTCAGAATTGTTCATTGATGTCTGCCTATCATTCATTGATGGATACATTGTCATCTAAATTCTGCAAAAATGAAAATAACACTGACATCTCATTTTAACAGATCTACAGAGTGCGATGGATAAATTGTCATCTAAATTCTGCAAAAATGAAAATAACACTGACATCTCATTTTAACAGTTATACAGGGTGCGATGGATAAATTGTCATCTAAATTCTGCAAAAATGAAAATAACACTGACATCTCATTTTAACAGATATATTTACCAGAGTTACACAAAAATATCTTGAAATATTAAAGAGTAAATTTATTCAATAAAATCGTCATTGGCTTCAACGACAGCCTCCAGGCAACTTCAGAATCTCCTGCAACTCTTCTGGATGGTCTCTTTGTTCAAGTTGGTGAATGCTGCCATATTCCTTGACTTTTCATTTTTAGTATTAAAAGGAGCTTTGTTGGTCTCTCATTCAACTGTACCCCACACATAATAATCAAGGGGGTTGCAGCATGGGGAGTTAGGTGGCCAAATGTAAGGGGGTGATGTGGTTACAGAAATTATCTGAGAGCCATAACAGGGTTCTCCTTCTTGTGTGGCATGGTGCAGAGTCCTTTTACCAGAAATAATAAGGGATAGAGTATATGTAAATATAAAAGTGGACATTGAAGTTGACATCCAGCAGTAACAGTCTGTTTCATGCTTTACATGCAATCACTTAAAATTGTGTATAAGCATGAAACAGAAACATAACACAGGGTGTAGACTTCAATGTTCACTCTATATATATATATATATATATATATATATATATATATATATATATATATATATGAAGAAATATAGTCTTAAAGGTGTGTGCTATATTTATGGGATAATGTGCTCAATATCAGAGATAGAGCATTGTGTAAATATAAAAGTGAACATAGAAGTCAACACTTAGAGGAAACAGGCTGTTTCATGCTAGAAGCAATCGTCAAGCCACATCAATTTTTATATATATATATATATATATATATATATAAAAGTGAACATTGAAGTTAACTCTCAGAGGCAACAGGCTGTTTTATGCTGGATGCAATCATCAGGCTGCGAATTTGTGTCCTGATGATTAAGTCCAGCATGGAACAGCCTGTAATTATCTGACATTGACTTCAATGTTCTTTTTTATATTCATATTTACATATGCTCTATCTCTGATATTGAGCACTTTATCCTATAAACATAGCACACCTTAAAACTATATTTCTTCATATATATATATATACATATATATATATATATATAAAAATAAAAGCTAAAGCTTTCTCATATATGAATGGAAAGTGTCACTGCTGACACCAGAGTTTGAACATGAATCTCTAGACAATGAAAATGTAGACCACGATTTACTATAAATAGAAATATCATGCTACTGACTGGTGGTTACAATTATGTGCTTGACTATTGTGTTAAACTGGATGTTAAAGTCAAGTGTTCCATGAAACGAATTAGTACTTTTCTTATACAAATATTTAAGTAAATGCTCTGTTTATAATAAACAGTATTAACAACTTTTACCGGCCTGAATGTCCGAGAAATTTTCATAGAAAATATGCATCCTCCAACAGGAATCGAACCTGTATCCTATACGGAACCATCATATAGCCTAACATGCTTTTACTGATTGAGCCACAGAGGAGCGTTTCAGTTAGCAAGATCGATTTTATTGTTTTTAAACTACAATTCTCCATGATTTTCTCTTGTACATTCATATCTGCTTGATGCATATCCAAATGTAAACAACATCACACATTATGAAATGGACAAAGTCTGACAATTATTTTAAGACATTTTTTATCAGAGTGCGACAGAAATGCTTTCCAAATAATGGTAAGTAATTAGCTAGTTGAAGACATTATTGTCACTAATGTCTTACCATTATGTGGGAGGTATTTTTGATGCACCCTGTATAATGAAAATATATTTTGATGTGTGTGTTATATTGAAACTCAAAATAGAATTCAAATTTATCCAGCCAGTATAAGAATCTGCCATGAATGCTTCAGTCTCAGAAGGTGTAAGAAAAAATATTGTTGTTGGCATGACTGCCTTTGCACATCTTGATTGAGGCTATCGAAACCATCAAACAAGTGTTAATTGGACATTCGCTGCTGGCCTGATTAGATTAGTAAATATATTAGTATTAATTATTCAATCAAAAGTGAAAAACTGGGATTTACTTTTGGAAAACAAATACAAATTGGTCAATTGTAATAATAAAATCAGCCAGATTATTTTCATTTGTCCTTTCTTCTTCGCTTTCATTCTTTTTAAATTTCATTGTTTTTCTCTTTCATTCTTTATCTATTTCATTCCTTTTCTCTTTCATTCTTTTTCTCATTTCATTCTTTTCCCTTTCATTCTTTTTCCTTTTTCTCATTTCATTCTTTTTCTCTTTCATTCTTTTTCCATTTCATTCTTGTTCTCTTTTATTCTTTTCTCATGTCATTCTTTTTCTCTTTCATTCTTTTCCTTTTTCATTCTTTTCCATTTCTTTTTCTTTTTCATTTTTTTCATTCTTTTTCTCTTTCATTCTTTTCCACATTTCATTCTTTTTCTCTTTATTCTCTTTCATTCTTTTTCTCATTTCATTCTTTTTCTTTTTCATTCTTTTCCATTTCATTCTTTTTCTCTTTTTTCTTTTTCATTCTTTTTCTCATTTCAATCTTTTCTCTTTGATTTCATTAGACAGTGATTCTTTATCTTTTTCTCCCTCTTTCAATTTCTCTTTTATTATTTCAAAATCTTCTTTCTTTTTTCTTTATCCCCTTTCCTTTATTCTTTTGTCTTTCCTTCTCCCTCTTTCTTTGCTTATACCTTTGTTTTTTCTTTCTGCTATTTTTTTATTTCTGTCTTTCTTTCTTTTATTTATTCCTTTGTCATTCATTCATTCATTCTTTTCTCAGTCCTTTGTCTCTCCTTTTCTTTTCTCTTTCTTTCTCTTTCCTCTCTTATTCTGTTTCCTTTTCTAATCTCTCTTCCTTTATTCCTTCTCTTTCTTTTTCTTATTGTTTTTCCTTCTCTCTTTTTTGCTTATTCCTGTCTTTCCTTCTCTATTTTTTCAAAGAGTGCACTAATCTTACAATTCTTGACAATAAACTTAAGACAAGGACCATACATAATATCATTGGTCCTTACAAAAGCAACAGCAGCACAATGTCGTATACAAGCTAACAGAGGAAAAAAAACCAGAAATCTACATTTATTTATTATATCATTTCATACCAAGCAAGGCAATAAAGCCACTAAGATGAAAAAGATTACTGAAAGAATACAAGAAAAAGAATCATCGTTAATGAGAAAGAACATTAAAAGAATAAGAATCACTATCTACTCTCTTCCTGCTTTTCTTTCCTGTTCCTGTTCATTATTAGTATTTCGGTTCCTAATTCTTCCACATTCTGTAACCCCTTGTGTCTTAGTGGCTTTATTGCATTTCATGGGGTGATACTGATTTAAAAAAATGAAATTATTCAGGAGGCAGAAGATAATGATTAACATTGCATTTAAATTTTTGAAGATCAAAGTTGACTGGGAAGCAAGAAGCTGGAAGGGAGTTCCACAAGCGAGAAGTACGAGAGAAGAAATTGTTAGCATAGAATTTAGGGTTACATCTAGCCATTACAATTATAGAAAGATGAGACCTTGTCACCAATTTAGTCTTCATAAAATCTAGGAAAACTACTAGTGAAAAAAAAGAAACATGGAGAGAAGCAGTATAAGTTATTTTTTTCAGGTTAGATTTGATCTGGTGTCCATAATTTAATTCTGGTAAGAGATGTCAGGGATGTCATTTTCCTGTTTCTTAATACTTAGCTCAGCTTTTGAAAGGCAGTATTTGCTATTCCAATCTACCTTTGGATTTTGGTGTCAAATTTCCATCACTTACCAGATATTTAAAATTTCATACTTTCTTGAATTTTGAAGATGTTGACAAATTGGCCAGTTATAATTGTGAAGAATCATATTGAAAACACCTGTCTTCTGATAAATGTTGAAGACATTTGAGAAACTAAGCAAATATAAGGACTGCAAGTTACAAATCCGTAGAATGTGGCATCTCAAGACAAAAACATTGCCTGTCGTTATTGAAGCTTTGGAATTTATTTTTGTAATAATTTCACCCCCAAGCAAGGCAACAAAGCCACTAAGATGCAAAAGGTTACTGTGTGAAAGAATATAAGAAAAAGAAAAATATTATTAAGGAGCGAGAACAATAACAGAGTAAGTAATAATAGGTAATGGCTAGCTGCTGGTATCTGTGTATGCCTATCTGCTAGGGAGGTTAGCCAATCCCTATTGCAGATGCCTGCTCAGGCATATTTGTGTTTGTTCAACATCCACAGGAACCACCTGTGGTTTATACTGTAACTACGCTGAACAGACCTTAGTTACAGTTTCTGGCAGAGAACACATCCCATCAAATTATCTGGTGTGATCAACAGTTTGAACGTCAGTATGCTCAAACCTTCAGCCACGATGACTTTCAACTTTGTGCTAGCTCAACTTTTGACAGTTTCCAAATAGTTTCACCATCTAATTTCACTCACACAGCTTGGGTCAACCTCTGGTATAGTTTCCAGGCACTTTCCAAAGGTGCTGCACACTGGGATTGCCTCTACAGGCCAATGACATCAAGAAGTCACCTTCTTGATAAATTGACAATGAGATTCAGACAAGGTCACACAGAAATCAAAAGTTCTAACCACCTGGCCACATACCCATAACAATAATAGAACAGGAATTACGAAAACAGAAGATAACTGTTATGGTAATTTACCCATGCATGCATGGAATCTACCAGCTATAAATAGGAGCAGGTATTGCTTTTTTGCAGAGGTAAGTTTCCAGCAGTCAGCTCTGACAGTCGGACCGAATATTCTTGCTGTAACACTCTCGTTTGTATATGTTTGTATTACTGTTTCTGTTAATATATTTGATTAACTCAATTCCTCTCTTTGTGTCTTTATTTCTGGCCCTAACAAGGCCAGAACAATAACAATTAACATTGCATCTAAATTTTTGAAGATCAAAGTTGACTGGAAAGCATGGAGCTGGAAGAGAGTTCCACAGGTGAGAAGTGCAAGAAAAGAAACTGTTAGCATAGAACTTACAGTTACATCTAGTAAATTCAAATGTAAATTGTTGAGACTTTGTTGCCAATATAATATTGCACTTAAATTCCTAAAGCCTAGATACCATAATGAAGAGAGATATTTATTCTGCTATGTACAGAAAATGTGGCACAAGGCCAAAATGAGGAATGGGGAAAAGGACAGTCTTCTTCTGTCTTAATATTAAACTTAGCTAGCCACAATCACTAACCCAAACATACAACAATATTCCTAACACCAAAACAATGCATTCTTACCTTTCTTACTACATTCACCATAATACCTCATTGTCTCTATGAAAGTCCTAACTAGTCCCCATATGTACAATTCATTGTCTGTGCAGGGAGGGGAATAAAACAACAATTTTAGTGAAGAGCTAATTCGAACAATTACCATAAAATTATTTATAGAAAAAGCATAGGGAAGCAATTTTATGGCGGTAAGAAAGTGACTGAAGCTGAGATGCCAGATCAGGACTAATAATATTGTTGATCCTTCTTTGGATTTTATTTTAGGATATGAAATTGAAAACATTGAAACATTTTTTCACTATTAATTTGAGTTGATTTTTCACATTATTTTATTCTGACATTGTGTTGAATACTTTGAGATTATTCAGAAATTCTTAATTTATAAACTATTTTATACTGTTGATGAGTCTTTAAATCTGTCTATATCTCTGAGATGAGGTATTATGTACACTATTTACATTATTTGAACTATTGTTCTTGTTTTTTCACCATATTTATTACAACATTTCGGCTGTTGTACGCTCCGGCCTTCTTCAGGTGGTTGGAATGTTGAACTGAACCCTTTATTTCACTCACTGGGGTAGATTGTTCTAGTTCCATGTGCCATGTTTAATGAATATCAGTTATCAGTTATCTCCTGTTAATTCTCCTCTGAAAGTTCTCCACTGCCTTAACCAGGTATTGAACTCACACTCTTTGGGTCCTGTCACTGGATCTAACCAACACCTTTATCCACTGTACCATGTGTCCTTGAGGACATGGCACATGGGACTAGAACAGTCTACCCCAGTGAGCGAAATAAAGGGTTCAGTTTGACATTCCAACCACCTAAAGAAGGCTGGAGCATACAATGGCTGAAAGGTTGTAATAAATATGGCAACAAAGATGAGGACAATAGTCCGAATATTGTGAGTCTTTAAATGTTTAAAAATAAAAAGGAAATAGACAATGGTAGGTTGAAGAACAGGCAAAGAATTATTTTAAAATCATATTTACAGCCTGATATATACAGATAATGCAAGCACATTTGAAAGGTTAGCATTAAATATATAGCAGGAGCCACTGGACAATATATAAACATTAGATATTCTAGACATTGGCAAAATGATAGACTTATGGATATGTGAGATAGATTCTGGAGAAAAAAATAGTCTAGCATGACACTGTGATCCAACTTTCTTAGCAGCTGACCTAGCAATGGAATCATTATAATCTTTCTACTTCATATCAGCTGAGAATGTAAGCTCAAGAAGGTGGAATGAGTCACTCTCATAGAGGTTATCATTAACCATGATGCATGGAAAGCAGAAGGGAATTTCTCAGATGATTAATAGAGAGTAGTTTTGTTTTAGAGGTGTTAACATTAACAAGCCATTCTTTGCTCCAGTTAACAACAGATGATAGGTCATTTTTAAGGTCAGCTACCAATTTGAACTTATTGAACGAATCAGACTTAGTATTGAGACAGGAGTAAATTTCCATGGAAAATCTTCTGACAAGATATATTCCCTAATTCTGTTAGTTCAGACATTTACAGATATAACCCATCACGTCATGTCCAGAGGGCCACACCTATAGAAATTAAATTCTATATATATTTTTCAACCAATACAATCCCATCAGAAGGTTTGTTAGATAAACAATAATTACGAGAGCAAATACTGCCAAAATACTTGGCAGACATAGTTGCTGACCTACCTCATGTTTTTTTTTTTTTTAACCATTTAGAAAATAACTATAATAACTCCCTTCACCACTCACCACAAATTTGAGAAAAAGATTCTCGTGATTCAGCATGAAATTATTTTCTAACCAATTTACAAAATTTCACACTTCTATGTGAAATTAGATTTTAAATAATATAAAATAGAAGCATACTGCTTCTCAGGGTTCAAAACAATTTTAAAGATTAGTTTGATTTACATGTGCATACATACACAGTTGCAAACAAAGCCATCAGCCACCAAGTAAACCCTTGTCTATGAACTCACAAACACGTTAGGGCCACTTTCATAAAGTAAGTCACATATCTCACATTGCATGAAGAACACTTAATTACTTAATAAAACAAATTTCACTGCAAGGAAAATTGAACATTTTGTTATTGTATATTTCTAAAAAAAATATATAAATATTATTTCAATTGATCTACTACTACTACTACTACTACATTTCCTTCAATGAATAACCTATTTTGTGTTTCAAATAAAGAAGGTGGTGTTGTTAAATGTTTGGAATCCTGACACTCAGAGAGCAACAAAAACCATCCTCATTCCCTTTGTATTCCATTCATAAGGAGGAAGTTCAACTCAGCCAGCTTCTTCTCAAGAGCAACTACTTTATAGAACAGAAGAGGATGCTTCCCCAAGCATGACAATCTTAATCTCTTCAAGTTTCAGGTCAACAATTATCTATCCTATTTTTTTTTTTTTAAGCATTACGCCCTGAGCAAGACGTGAAGCCACTAGGATGCAGGGGGTTGCAGAAGATTTGGAGCAAGAGCAGATAAGAGTCATAGAAGAAAGGATGAGGAGAGGGATAGTGGGTAGATCAAGGTAACTGGAGATGTCGATTGACATTACATTTGAATAGT